CGTATTATTTTGTCAATAGTGATGTATTTTATTATTCTTTTGACATACAAATTCGATTTTGTATTCCAAGACCTTTAATTCTGTCGATGATATTTCTGTACTTATTTTAAATATAATAATGGCTTCTCCTACAAGACTGCTGGTCAAGCAAATTGGATTCAATGCTAGACAGACAGATCATATTGGACTGAGAAATTAGGCATGCGACATATGTGACATATACCTCGATTTTAGTAAGACGTCTTAAAAAAATAACTATAGCTATATTAGACAAGATTATTCTTCGTGGTCTTCTATAAATTGATTAACTGACTTTCTATGAATCCCTCGTCAAAATATCGTGCTCAAGTACACAAAGCAGTGTTTAGTGAAGTTCCACAAGGTTTCATATTGAGACCACTTTTATTCTATATTTATACGTTAGATTTCTATTTCCCGATAGGCCCATTTTACTTGCAAATCCAATAATTCTGTCAGTAGCACCATCATCAAATACTAGGAATTCTTCATTTATGTGACTAGGAATCACAAGATCTTCACGCGTTTTTGGTAGTTGTGGTATTCCCAAAGATTTATTTTATTGTGGGTATAAGGATGATTTTATACTTTCATACTGTGGAATTTTTGTCACGAACTCTAAGCCTTTGTCTTTTGCTTCCTTAAACACCTCTTGATAAATTTTTGGTATTGTTGTCATTTCTTCCGCAGCACGTTTTCTGCGTATTGCAATGCATTTTTCAGTATCTGTGTATGCCTCATTAGGAGCTTTTAGTTGTGTGTAAATGTCTTTGTTATTTCATTTTCTTGATTTGTTGTGATTCGTCCACTGCAATTTCCGTTTACACATTTCCAGTTCTTACTCTGGTTTTTGTTGTCCTTTTTAAAAAATACTTGAATCCATCACTAATAACTTTCATATTACCTTTGGCACTTTTCAAAAATTCTACCTTATCCATGATTACTATTCAAGGATGCAGTTGAAACTAAATGCTCCATTTACTTTTACGTCCTTAAGTACTAATTATACTCATCGTTAAGTAATATTATTGGCTAAAAGACCAATAATTGTGGGTGAAGCTTTCAATTGAAATACCTAAGTATTAAGATGATTGATTTCTAGATGTATCTGTGACGCCTATGATTAGTAGGTAAGTTATTTTTGATTGCAAATGAGAATGAGTGATTTCCAGTCAGCAGGTACGTAGCTAGGTATGGTAATGCCTATTTTATCTCTGAACTAATTTTTAACAACTATTTTAATTTCTCTTGCAATTTTTGGCCAATATATTTTACAGTTCAAATGGAAACATACGCTGAAAAAAGTACTAGATTTTGTTTCGAGGGTACTAGAGTACCAGATTCTCAGAAAATGTACTAGAGTACCAGATTCTCAGATAATGTACTAGATCTAGTACAATTGTACTAGACTGGTAACACTGGTACCATATGTAACCTGCCCTGCATCTACTATACACCACTGTTATTCCGTATCTAGAAACTAATGCCACCTTGGCAGATGAAAGTAAGTAGGAAAAGATTACGAAGATGCAACTAGAAAAAATCAGATCTCTTAGCGATCTGAAAAGAAGACTCAAAAGGGTAAAATCACCCTTTGTATCAGTGAAACAGTGTAAAACAGAGCAGAGTGCGGCAGATGAACACAATAATCTTAGTGTAAATAAGTTATTAAAGTCTAAGGAGAAATAGATGCTCATTGGCAATAGTAGACATTGAAGGTGATAGCTCATTCTTTAACAAGGATTTCTATATATCCATCTTGCGTGCCACTTGTCTCTGGTCGTATTGTAATTTAAGTTGTAATAAAATTACTAACTGACGACCATCAGTAATCAGATTGTAATTATATTGAAATGCGAACTTACTAAACATAAATTTAAAAAAATAAAGATGGATTAACCTTTAGTTGTAAACCCAAATTGTGTTAGCTTTTCAACTGTCCAACTAGCCTTACCTAATCAGTTCATCGAAAATCGAAGAGTCCTAATCTCATATTTATACCTGCAATTAACGGCAATCAAATGAATGCCTCGCTATAGACCACAAAAGCCGCCGGTGAATCCCCCCATCAGCTTCGACATGCCCGGACTGTTGCTAGCAAACCAACCGTTTGGAGTTTAAATATGGCCGTTTAAAATATGACGTTGAATAATGCCCGGGAATTAACCGTGAACAGGTGAGAGAATCCGGAATGGCTCCGGATATACGTGTAGCGATGGTAAAAATTGACACAGGACTATGATTGAAAATGGAAACTGAACTGAAAAGGTAGACACGAGGGTATTTTTTTGATTTGTTTAAATGACCATTCGTTTGCCATATTAAGACGTAACAAACATCGGTATTAAAAATTTTTTTTATTTGTTATTGTCAAAAATACAAAGCATTTTTAATGGTAAAAATAGATAATTTAGGAATGGCACTGTTCGCCACAAATGGCATTAACAAACATATCATTTCCGGTTCTAAAAAAATTATTGCTATAAGCTTATAACCAATGTACAATCAACGCTATATATTGAAATCATGTATTTCTGCAATGCACTTCTCATGTAAAATTTTAGATGCACATTGCTAAACAATATTTTTGGTTGAATTAACTCGTGAAAATGACATCGAAAGATTCCTGAAGCACAAACAGCATATCGCACAGCAACCTATATGACGCGGCAAGTGATGCTCATAACTCACTTGTTTCATTTTGTATATTTTCTGAGATTGAACGATATTTCAAGATTTAAATGAATAAATTTGTTCTGCTAACTTTTCTTGTGATCAATATTTTTTTACTCATGTGCTCGTCTAACTTAGTCTAATGGCTGCCTAAAGGCTGTCTTATGGCTTATTGTGTTTAACCTCATGTAGTGCATAGTACCCACTCTGTCACCTTTGTTCCTTGTACAAGTTTGTACAGGTCTTTGACTACATGGTTCTGGATCAACCTGTGGTTCTTCCCATAATTGTTGTGTTGTCTTCGTATTTAGTTTTTTATGAAACCTCGAAAACATTTTGGTAATCTAAGGTTTATATCTGGTTCTAGTCTTTCTGACCCTCTTATGCAAGTTCGTCGGTCTTTTAATTCCCTTAATGACCAGCACCCAAACTACTTTTACTATATTTCGGTCTGCTAGTGTTCTTAGTTCTTCATTGCAATCCAATACCAATTTTGACGACACTGTTTGACTGTCTACCAATATTTTGCATCCGACATTATTTGCATCTGCTTACTTTCGGTATCTCTCACAGTTCAAGATTGCATGAAGTACTGAAGTATGTTTTCTATTGCATAGTAAAGGTTGTTGTTAGGGGTTTTGGAAAATACTGTACCTTTCGCGAAATTAAAAAAATCGTCAGGATACTAGGTTTTTTCCTGTCATTGGGAACTGGGTTCCCTTATTGTGATCTCCTTTCTGTTTGTGTTAAAGCCTGGAATTTAGGGTTGAAGGAAGGAGTAAAGCTTAGTAATGTGATATGTTTTCATGTCTAGTACGTCTTATGTTACTAACCTTGTGACACTTTTGCCATTTGGCCTAATGTTAAGATTACCCAGTTTTTTTTTAATCTATAATCACCTAATCTTGCCTCCCCCTGTATCACAAAGGAAAGTGGTAGTAAACCTAATTGTACTTCTATTACTGATGTTGGGGTTGTTTCCATTATTCTCCATTATTAAAATATCCCTCGAGTCAATATATCTTGCTTAATCTCGTTATTACCATTATCAGTCTTACCACCATATTGAACATGTACATAATCCAATATATGATGCCTGATTTCAATACCCATTTTTTCTAACAGAGCGCCTTGTTCATCATGTTTTGCCAATCAAGCGGCATGAGAAAAGACTGATTACAATTATTGGTTTGACGAATTTCGTCGTGGTCATACATATTATTCTAAAAAACATTGAATTGGTATGAGACTTACTGTGACAGAAGCATCCTTAGGCATTTCGAAGACTGCAATACATTCAGTTTTGTATGAACATCGTCACGTCGTCAGTTCACAAGTCACTGAGCTAATATCAAGATGTTTGTGTCTGATGATCTGGAACTAGGTTAATAACTTCTATTAAGTGACCGATGCATATAATTATGGAATCTTAATCGAGAGGATACATGAAACTTTAAACTAAATAACTTTCGATTCGCTTCCATGTATCAGCTACAATATTTCGATTTTTTTGCAGCCAGCCGATGGATAGTTTTCCATATTACAACTTTTCTATGACAAAGCTCTAAGAACTGCAATATTTGCTCATTAATCCAGGTCGTGGTTTACTTAATATAACAAAGCCAAACTATTCTAGTTTCGATAATATTATGGCAATATGTGGACGGCTAGCTTTGCATATCGATAACTTGCGCCACTTCCTTTGAAGCTGAACAAAAGACCTACAAACCTACGGCAAATGGCTAATACAAACTCGAACGCCCATCAGTTTTAACTTTGCTATCTACACGTTTGCCAAGTGATGCTTGCAATATTGTGGGTCCACTTTGTAAGCTGGCTTAAGGAAATGCTTAAAAAAATCGACCGAAGAACTGCAAACTTCGTATACAATATCGTAACAGCTGACGAAACTATGATATATTCAAACGAGCCCAAAACTGAGCAAAAATCAATTGTTTGGACGTTTCAAGATGAACGGAATCCAACAAAAGTTATTCATTCACGAAGCATTTACAAGAAAATGTTTACTTGTTTTTCTTTGGTTGTACCAGACATGTCGCAAACATTCCTTTAGATCAGTGGTTTCAAACTTTTTTAGAGTCACGAGCCCCCCCTTTTAGAATTGTAGAGTAACCTGCAACCTCCTCCGAAAGCATTTAAAATACATTTTTTAGAATATAACCCCAACGTCATATTTAATTAACTAATTAATGAGTTAATTAATATTAAATGCGATGGCTGTGCTTGCATCCTTAACATTTAATGAGATTCTTTATTTTAGTATGAAGAAACGTTGAAAATCCACTTACACTCTTTCGATAAGCTCGTGGAAGTACCGCTGAAATTTCTTTTCAAGGGATTTAAGATACCCAGTTATATCTTCTTTCACATTATCATTCAGTTCATCTTCAGATTCCTTTATCGCACCGCAAAATTTTTCAATTATGTTTATGTTTCCAAGATTTATGCTATTTTTGAATCTTGGGTACAAATGCCCGAATATTGTCCGTTTCCTTTTCCTGAAAAGTCAGGTAAATCTTATTTAGCTACTCTAAGATGTCTGCTAAGTTAACAACTCTAGAAAAGTAGAACCTCATGATCAAAATTCATGGCTTCCAGATATATAATTCATAATTTGGATCAAATAATTAAGCACATCTTGCAGAGAAGCTGGGCCAGTCTCAATGACATGATCATATCTATGAATCATGCAGTGAATGCCGGTTGCTTGGAGAGCATTATTTCATTGCACTGTAGTCCTCTAGTTTCAAAGAAAGTATGTATCTTCGGTGTGATATCTTTACCTTTTCTAGTTATAACCACTAGTGCACTACAAAACTCTTCTGTGATGTCATATGGATGCATATATTTCCGCTCGTCTCGAAGATACCTGAATTTAATAAATAAATGTTAAAAACCTCCATGTAAATTATTAATGAAAATAATTACAAGAAGAAATAACGTGGCCACCTTCTAGATAACACTTTGTGACACTGTCGCGACCCACAGGTTGAACTACTGCTTTAAACGATCGAATAACAGTTAATGCTGAATAGCATACAAACATTTATTTTATATATAACCGAAAACGTCGCATATTCGCCGTCACTTTGACAAAACTATCACACAACAGTTATTAATTATTTAAAGGTGAAAACATCGTAAGAATATCTCATTGTCCGTATTCACCTGATTTATCGCCTACAACTTCTTTGAGTTTCCGAATGTCAAACAAAAAGTGCGTGAACAACGATTTTTATCACCTCAAGAAAATTTTGAAGTCTTCAAAAACCATGTTTTAAAGATAACATTTTCAGAATGGACAAAATGTTTCGAGCATTGGTTCGGACGCATTCAGAAGCGTATAACATATATTTTAAAACGCTCTACAACAATTTGCACCAAATATTTTTCTTTCACTGTTTTTGTAAAAACTAAATATATATATATATATATATATAGTCTAAATTCTTAAATGTGAACAGTATTCATGACCAGGTCTTATTTGGACTATTGTTGAGTAAGAGTTTTTGTTCTTCAAATGTAAGTATATAGGAGGTTTATGAGAAGAGGACGTGCCAATAAGAAACTCGGAGCTAAAGTTTCTTATTGGCACTTATTTGGACCTTTAAGGTAGGTTTTTAATGAGTGGGACAGCAACGTAACTTTTCAGTGCAACAGGTCATGACAGTTTTTTATATTTCTTTACCACATTTTCTAATGAAGTTTATGGTTGAACAACTTTACTTCAATTAATAGAAGAAAATTGGAGTCTAATTCATTCCGGTGCGGAACAGGTACATAAAGGTTAGGTTAGAGAATTAAGTGTTTTTCGAGAAAAAATATTAAGTTACAAACATGTTTAAAAGGTTGCCTCTAAACGATTTGTTGCAAAAATATGTCTCATTGTTTTTGTAAAACCTAGAAAGGTAAACATGTATTACAAGTACATGCCATATACCGGGTGACTAACATAGAAATACCAATCTTATAATAATATTTTGTAAACATCGTCAGTTCATAAAAATTATCATATTATTTGTAGTAAATCATTATCAACCTATTTTAGTTTTTATTAAGCTATTGCATAGCTTTTATAGCGGGCTTTGAGCGCGGCGACCGAATCAAGAAATTCCGTAACACCGTAACGAAAATAAACCTAACACCCCCCACTCCAACCGGTACAGCGGTGCGGCGTTAAAACCCGTGGAAGGTTTTATCCGACCCTATTCGTATTAGTATGAAGCGGAGTTAAATATATGTCTGCGGACTGGAACGTTTATGCAATGCAAGAACTAGAAGAGCTTTCTCTGGCTTCTAATTAATTGGTATCACAAATGTTCCCAGCTGCCGTAAATATTAGATATTAATTTTTTTGCAAGATTTATATAGTATATTACATTTCCAAGCAAAAAAAAAATTAAAAACAAAAAATTCTGGCCCCGCCAGAATTTGAACGCGGTCGCTCGCCAGGTCTCAAATGGCAAATTTGATAAGTTTGATGCTCTAACCATCTAAGCTAATAGACCATGCGTCAATTTAATGATCTAAGTAATCGGTTATGTGTTTAACCAGAATAAAGAGCAAACATATCTTAGTTATTTTAAAATTATTTTAATAATAATTGTTAAAGATAAATATCTAGGATCTAATTTACAACAATTTCAATAATTTAACAATCATATCGATTTTAATATTAATATGGACATTACAAAGATCAAAATAGAAATGATGCTTTTGACATTTTGTGACAGCTACTGCGGAAAGTAGCATATTCGTACACGGGTGGAAAGTAAATTCTTATTCATACTAGTGTGATATAGGGCACTTTCCATAGGACTATATAGTGTGATATGTGTCACTTTCCTAAGTGGTCGTAGAAAAACAATATTAATTTTTATTTTATCAGTGTTAACTATTTCAATATTAAGCTATTGCATATATTTTATCGCGGGCTTTGAGCGCGGCGACCGAATCAAAAAATTCCGTAACGAAAATAAACCTAACACCCTCGAAAAATCGAAAAATCACCCCTACTCCGACCGGCACAGCGGTGCGGCGTTGAAAGCCGTGCATCGTCTAACGTCGTTTCAGTTCGGCAGACTTCGGCACAGTGTTTGTGTGCGTGCGACTAGACGTATGCGTGTAGACTAGCTGCTAACTGCTCATAACTGATTCTATTTCTTTTAGACACAATTTCGGAAAAATTTAATTTGAAAATGAATAATGATCCACAAGAATCCACAACAAAATATGGGGCCACCATTGACGCGGTATTTTCCAGATATTTAGAGGATATTAAGTTTAAAACTTATGTTTCTTATTTCAGTTACCATAAACCTATAGTTTCAATGATAAAAATTCCTGAATAACCTACATGTATTGTAAGATAATAAAAATATTTTAAACAATATTAACTTCTCATTTATTCAATAAAAGAAAAATATTTGTTTTCTTATCGGTCACCACGCTCAAAAAGTGTAACTTGAATTAATATCAAAGAAAAAAAGATACTACATAAATAAAATAAATAAATAATTATAATTGCATAAGTTGATAAAAAATGCTATGCAATAGCTTTACCGCGGCAGTCCCCGAATGCCACACGTATTTTTTTATTGTTTTCCTAGAACAATCTACCTATTTCTGAATAAAAACAAAATGTGCCAAAAACATATATCTAATAAATAACAATAAAAAATGTCGAATTACTTGAATTGTTTTAAAAATACCGAACAATACACTAAGTATTCTATAAAAAATCTAAAAAGAATCTAAAAAATTTTAACAATTTTAACAAGTCTGATGTGAATAAATTATTTCACACCTTCTTAACCCATAGATTCTACTAATTCGAGATACCTATCGTAATATATATTTTTTTGTAAATTCAGGTATGTGCGTGACTAAATTAATTATGTCGTCCACGCCCACTTGATGGAGGTCTCAATTTAAGTAATTAATTTCATGTAGCACGTTTCGAGATCCTATTCTTAGATAGCTTTTCGTTTTCGGAATCACGTCTTATTTTTTTGGCATCTATCCATCAACGTTTTGTGCGCTTTCCCGGAAAATTTGGATTTTCCGGTTAGATATATATACATTTGCATAATTTATTATGAACTATGACTATATTTATTTCACACATAAACTATTTTTTGTGAGAGTCGAATTCATTTACTTAACTATAAAATAATCGTTTCAAAATTTGTTTATTATAATAAATTTACCACCACTACCATCATACATTCTTTAATAAAAAGGAAGATTACAGGATAAAGCATAGAAAACTAAACAGATTAAATAAAAAAGAAATAGGTAGATTTTTATTCCCTTCCCCCGACACTCTAACCAATACAATTTAAATAGGAAAAGTACCAAATATGACACATCATTGAAAAAGTAATTGAAACCCTAGATGGAAAATGATTTAGTTTTGTCAGAATAAAATAAATTGAACGAGGCACGATAATGCCAAGGTTAAAACCTAGGTGGAATGTAATTACATTTCCAGTTTTGAAACTTATTAGAAATATTACAAAAATTATTGTTCTAATATAAGCAAGAGCAATTTTAATAGCAGGACTCGCAGCACAACAATAATAAAAAAATATGGCAAATCAATATTTTGGCATGAAGGCAATATCTATGGGAGCTAATGGGCAAATTAAAAATTAAAGTAATTTAACTGGCATACGAGAAGATGGCTATGCTCACTAATATGTATTCCAAAACATTTTCTGAGGTGCTAAGTTATTTTCATGTGATTTAGGTGCTCTCTCTGTAAGGAGGGGGAGGGTTGGGTGCTCCGCAGTATTTAGAACTCACTAGGCCCATTATGCACCCTCCTAGGACAAATGGGACCCGCTTGTCAAAATCCTAGAAATGGCATTTGGTGGTAAATACTTGGATAGGGCTATTCTGTCCGTCCGCTCCACAGGGCCTTTTAGGTGCTCTATAAAAAGATTTTATTAATTTTGCTACAAATGTATGGATAACAAATTTATTTTGTACTTTACCAACTTTCAACAACTATTAAAATCACTCACTGTGTACTAATTTAACGTGGAACACTTGGTTCAAAATAAAAGTCATCAGTACAGACATGTATGAGGAATGGTTTCAATGCTGAACACCATTTTTCTCCCCAATCTGGCTGTTTAGATGAACCAAAGATACAAGTAACTGTATAACTGTATAATTTAACCTTAATTATAAAGCAGTTTTTTGTTTTTTTTACCTCTGCAGTAATTTTTTTTCTTTTAAATTTTTGCTACCTACGTAAGGGTTCCTTCCTGTTTACTGGGTAGAGCGTGGACTGCATTCTTGATGAAATCTTGTAGTCTCGGTGATGAATTGCTGTACAAATTGTCTTCGAATGTCGAAATTAAAATGATTACTTCTGTCAACTGGTTTATTAAATTTTATTAACTTTGCATTTCATAATCACATAACATTTGTTAATATTTTTATATGTAACTAAGTTTTCTGAAACATGCTAGTCAAAAACATCTTTTTA